ATTAATTAATTTTTTAAAGCTAATGTCAAGATTGTAGCTATATCCGATCAGAAAAATACCAAAAGGTACGAAATTTAGTACTTTTAGTACACACCTTGTCCGATGAATAAAAATTGAAGAAAAAAAATTAATAATAATGCTATGATAACCCACAATGAAACTTGTTAGCCAGAAATCCAAAATACAATTTAACGAAGAATTTAAAAAATACAGCTATTTGTTTATTTTTTACTTTTTTTATTTTTTTTAATAAATTTTAATGGCTAAACTATGGTGGTGGCATACCAAAAAAAAATTAAAAAAAAAATAAATAAAAAAATGCGAGTTATTTCTATGCAACAAAATGCCAGATATTGTCAGATAGATATATTCCAAGACTGGCTGGGATGGCTGCTGACAGCCCCATTACATACATATGCACATACATACATACATGTATTCACAACGCCACACATAGCTAACATGAAATGTGAATGTTTGCTTTTAATAAAAATCAACGACACGTTATGCATCTCAAATAAACGTGCGAACTAAAATGCGAAGCGAACAAAAAGATAAAGAAGAAGCAGAAGTGGGAGAAGAAAAAAGTCCAACATAAAAAAGAAATAACTTGGAAAAAAATGCAAAAAAAAATAATAATGTTGACTAGTCCACACTTCTTGAGAGAGCTGAGTGCTGTTGGCCAGCATAACTTGGTTCGAAGCTCAAGTCAAAAGAAAAAAAATAAAAAAATATTGAAAAATATGCGAAATGGTCTACAAAAGATTAGAGAAGGTGCAAAATAAACGTAAAAATATGCCACATTTTTTGTTGTTGTAGTTGTTTTCAAGTCAAAGTGTTAGAACTGAATGGGGCCTAAACTATTGTGGCCAAATAAACAATAATTATTTTATAAATGTGTAAAGGCATGTTGTACGCGAGTGTGTGTGTGTCTAGTTTTTGTTTGGCTTTTTGTCGGCAAAAAACGTCAAACTTCAATAAATAGTTATGGCGTGTCATTTGTTATTAGTTTTTGTGGTGTTGTTGTTGTCTTTTTTTTCTTCGGTACCAAAAACGGTCAAATAAATAAATTCTTTGCGCGGAATGTGGTTTTTCCTATGGCTAATGTTTGAATTTGGACGCGATGGTAATTTCCAAGAATTTGCGCATGGTTTTTGTTGATGGGAAATGAGTATTTTTTTGGAAGGGAGTTATTAATCAATGGGAGCTAGAATATTGAGACATTTATGCAATATTTAAAATTTGTTAGACATATTTTATCTAAGAACATTCTACCAATATTTGAGACATTTTCAAATAATATTTTTAAAGACCACTAGAGCCTAGAATCTTGGATTAAAAAAAATATTTTTTTTTCCACGTGGATTACTTTATAGTTCTTCAATTAACTCTAATTCTAATTTGGTAAAAGCTCTTCGATTTTTTCGAACTATTTTCCAGTGGTAGGTATTTTTACCCTGATTCCGGGAAACCATTTTTTTCTTGGAGGATGGACCCGGTAGCCCATATTTTGACCCGAAAGTCCGGGTTAAAAGCCCGGTGTGGGTCATACCCAGAAGAGAAAATCTCAAGCCCCGGCCGAAAACCCTCTACTTACAAAAAGTATTAAATTTAGAAAACTAAGTTTCGCGTAGCCTGCTGAACATACCCAAAAAGGATTATCTCTGGACCCAGAAAGGTATAAACACAAATTGTAGCATTCTGGAAAGGTAAGAGTATCAGCAATAATTTTGCATCAATTTTGTTGTCCCCCATAATGGGTCCTATTTCGACTTTTTGGTGGTTATATAAGATATACGAGTCCAAAAAACAACGATAATTTGACAATAACATTCAACCATATTTTATTGCCTATATCATCGGGTAAGTGGTCCAGTGCGGGACTTGAACCCGGGGTCCCGGGTCGGGGTTCCCCCAAGAAAAAAATAGTTTCCCGAAATAAGGGTAAAAATACCTACCACTGGGAAGAAATCGGAGCCCTGAATCTTGGATTTAAAAAAATCGAAAAAATTGAAGAGTTTTTACTAAACTAGAGAGTTAAGCTCCGAGCTGAGTCGATCTAGTTATGTGTGTATGTTTGTCCGTCTGTCCATGATAAATAACAATCAAAATACAGGTCGCAAGTACGGTCCGATCCTCGTGAAATTTTGCATTGAGATGGGCTTAGGGTCAGAATAGAACCCTATTGTTTTTGGAGATGGAGAATGAGTACTATAATTGTACGAATAGTTGTAAATACAGGGTGAGATGAAAAAACTGCAACCAACTTCAGACTGCTGTCATTTCTAAGCCACTCGTCCGACAGCTGTTAATATTATGCCAGTGGCAGCTAATTATATTGATTACAAGCTCTTCCTGATGGAATTCAAGCGTGATAGTGTGATTTCTTTATATTTGGCTGGAAAACCACAAGTGGCTATCGTTAGAGCACTCCACCATTTAAATGTGAATAAATCTTTTGTGTCTCGTACCATCGCTCGTTACCGTGATACTGGTGGCGAAGCCCGACGTCAAGGAGTTGGACGGAAGAAAACAGCAACATCTGCAGAAATTGTTCGAAAATTAAAGAAGCGGCTCTTGATGGAGACCCTCGTCGCAGTGGCTGAAAAATGGCTCGTGAGCTAAACATATCGCAATAGTCCATTCGGGAAATATTGAAAAATGAGCTCGGGGTAAAGCCATTGAAATTCCAAACAGTGCAAGAAATTACACCGCAACAGAAAGAAAATAGACTCAATAGAGCTAAAGAGTTGCTTCGCTTGGCCGAAAGTGGTAAGCTGCCGAATTTTGTTTTCTCCGATGAGAGAGCAAACATTCCTTGTCCAGCAGTTTGTAAACAAACAAAATGATCGTGTTTACTTGCCAAAGAGGTCAGCTGTAAATGTGCACCTTCGGTCGGCCACTAGAACTCAAGCGCGGGCCATGGTGATGGTGTGGACCGCCATAAAAGCCGATGGTCGCTCTCCGCTCGTATTAATCGATCGAATCAGAATAAATGCCGAAAATTATCGCGAAAATATTCTGGAGGGTGTATTAAAGCCTTGGGCACGAAAACATTTTGGCCGCAGACCTTGGACATTCCAACAGGACTCAGCACCAACGCACTCAGCACGCGCCACCCAAGAATGCATTACAAAATGAGGTTCCTCGCTTTATTTCCAGCGCACAATGGACACCAAAATCTCCGGATACCAATCCGTTGGACTACTGTGTCTGGAGTATTTTGAAAAGCAAGGTTGGCACTAAAAAATACCAAAGTGTCGTCGGGAATGGGTCAAAAAACCGCAGTGCAGCATTCGGGCAGCGTGTGAATGTTTCATTGACCGTTTGAAGGCCATAATTCGTGCCAAAGGTGACCAATTCGAAAAATCTAAACTTTTTGTAAAATTTGATGCTAGCTCCGACATTTTTTGCATTCATTCAATAAAATTTTTAAAAAATGTAAAAATTATGGCGTTTGACTTTGTTGCAGTTTTTAATATCTTACCCTGTATTTGTACGAAAAGTACTAAATGGTACAGAATTTGAGGTTGGTTGAAAGGATCGATACAAAATTCTGAAATTTGATATTTAGATAACTGCCGCTATCTGAGTTTGAGATTAGGAGTTGGATTTGGGAAAATGTCCTATAATTGTACGAAAACTTGTAAATGGTACTAAATTTGCTATTGGGTGAAGGAATAGGGCTGGAATCCTGAAATTTGCTATTGATCTTACAGTTGGTGTCTGGGAATGCGATACGGAGGTGGGCTCAGAAATGCGTCCTATATTTTTATGAAAATAGTTAATGGTACTATATTTGGAACTGGGTGAAGGGATAGAGATAACATTTTGAAAATTAATATTTAGATTACTGATTATTGAAGTTTATGTATTTTGAAAATACGTCCTAGATTTGTACGAAAATTACTAACTTTGGTGTTGAATAATATAATAGACCTGGAATCCTTAAATTTGATATTTAGGTCTCTCTTGGTATTTAGAAATAAGATATGGACGCGACTTTGGCAATATGTACTATAATTTAACGAAAAGTACTAAATGGTACTAAATTTAGTATTGGGTGAAGGAATAGAGCTGAAATCATGAAATTTAATATAAATGTCACAGTTGGTATCTGGAATTGAGATATGGAGTTGATTTTGGAATGGTGTACTAAAATTGTATGAAAAGTACAAAGTGGTACTAAATTTTGGGTTGGTTGGAAGGATGGAAATAAAATTCTGAAATTTGATATTAAGATTACTGTAGGTGTCTTGAACTGAGATATGGAGGTTGTTTCGGAAATACTTCCTACATTTGTACAAAAATTACTAAAATTTGGTATTAGGTTAAGGGATAGGACTGGAACCCTTAAATTTGATATTTAGGTCTCTATTGGTATCTGGAATTGAGTTATTGAGGTGGTGTTAGAAATGGGTCCGAAAATGGTTCGGAAAGTACTAAGTTGTACTTAATTGGGCATTTAGTTAAGGGGTAGAGTTGAAGTCCTCAAATTACATATAGATGTCACTGTTGGTGTTTGTATTTAAGATATGGAGATTGTTTTGCAAATGTATACTATACTTGTTCGAAAAGTACTAAGTGGTACCAAATTGGGCATTGGGTGAAGGGATGAAGCTGAAATCCCGAAATTCGATATAAAGGTCTCTGTTGGTATCTGAGATAGAGAAATGGAGGTGGCTTTGGAAATGTGAACCAAAATTGTATAAAGAAGCGTACATTTGCTAGCTGACTCTTATATCCATTTGATTATATGTGGATGTAGCCCCCAGTTCTTCCATATACAGTCCTTGTATGAATAGGGTTCGATTAAGCCCCTCTTCGCACGTTCCTCGATTTTCCTCTTCCAAATTAGTTGTTGGTCGAGAACAGTTCAGAGAGATATTTGGCTTCCGAAGATAGGCTTAACAAGACTCCATTTAGCAGAGGTGGCGAAAAATACTAAACTAATGAAATATTTAATTGAAAATAATGAAACAAATCGAAATCGCACTCACCTTAGACAGTGCCGAATGCAGCACTAGTTTGCATCGATCTATACAAACATTTTGGTGTTGTCGAAACGAACATAATCCCCGAATTAAAAAAAAATAATAATAATAAACAATTTTGTTTTGAATCGAAGACAACAAAAATAAAGGCTGGCGTTGATGATATCCACAAATCGAGGTTTTGATATTTTGTTGTCGTTTTTGTTGTTGTTGCTGATATGGGGCTTGTCGTCGATGTAAAGCACGTTGCGCTGAGGTGGGGACGATGTTGAGTGAATTGAAAAATTCCAAAGCGTTTACAGTATTTTTTTTATTCGTTATTGTTGTTGTGGTTGTTAATTGTATTTTTATTTATTTTTGTTTTTTTTAGTTATATTTCGTTTACAAAATTTCTTTTGATTTGTTTATAAAAATTCAAACAAATTACGCACACTGGAAAAAAATAAAACAAATGAAAAACAAATTATTTTTTTATAAAATTTGTTAAGTTATTAAAAAAAATTTAAATTCATTTTTAATTTTAAGTTTTTTTTATTTTTAAGTTTTTTTATTTTTAATTCTTTTTTATTAATTTTTTGTTTCTTTTTAGTCAAAATCTTTACTTAATTTATGTTTTTGTTCATTTCTTTTAAGTTTAATTTAAGCATATTTTCTGTCACATTTTATTTTTTCAAATTCATTTGTTTATTATGGCAAAAATTAATTTTGAACACTTTTTTGTCAAATCCACACACACACACATATATTATATTTTCAATTTTGTTTTTGCTGAATTGGCATTTTGTTGTGATATTTTGTTTACTCTGTTTATTTTTTGCTTTTTATTATTTTTTCTCTCTTCTTTAAATATTCACATTCTAGTTTTTTTATACATTTTTTTTTTGTTTATAAGTGAAATGTGGAAAAAATCACGGACACCCAGCACCGCACAAAAAGAAGATACCTTAGCCAGCCAGCACTTGTTTTCTGTTACGTTTTCATCATCGTCATCGCGCCACACCGTCACCGTCATCGTCATTTTTCCACATCGTCATATGAAACTATTTCATTTCATATTTCGCCATAAGACCTACGTCAAAATAATTTCGTTTTGTGACGCATCGCAGACACAAAAAAAGTGAAATAGTTTTCAATTTATGTCATTAAAAATTAACACATTTTTAAAATCATAAGTTTTTGTGGTTTATTCGAAATAGGTTAAGGCGATGGGGTCTTGTTTTGTTTTATTGAAATTTGGGGGGTGCAATATTTTGTTGTAATTGATATTTAATATCCAATAATTAAAAATACGAAATATGTAGTAGACAGGTAGAGAATATTCGAATGTTGTTCTATAACAACGAAAGTCTTTACAGGTCATGCTAAATTACAAAAAAAAAACGGTAAACAGTAACGGAACTTTGAATAACCTATACAATTTAGAACGAAACGAAAAACAATTTAGAACGAAATTTGAAAATATTCGATAAAGATAACATTCGTCAAAAATTCTGTTAACATTTTAAAAATACCGAATAAAGCCGTTATATTAGGGCATGTACGAAGTGCACCTACATAGGTATTGTTTGGGACAAGTCATTACCATATTTAAATTCGAAACTTGAAATAAACGGTGAATAATGTAGCCAAAATCATCAAAATAGGGAGGTACCGTTTTATAGGAGCTATACGAAGATCTGGACCTGCAAAGACAATTTTCTGTCACAGGCTGTAGCTTCCATTACGAACATCAAATAGGACACCTCAAACAATTTCGGTGAGTATTGTACCTAAAATCTTCAAAATACCGAATCTAAGGAGGTACTGATATATGGGTTCTATACGGAGACCTGGACCTGCATAGGCAATTTTCTGTCACAGACTGTAGTTCCCATTACGAACGATGAATAATGACTCTAAAATCATCAAAATACCGAATATTGGAAGGTACCGTTATATGGGGGTTCTACGAAGACGTGGACCTGCACAGGCAATTTTCTGTCTTGGGCTGTAGTATCCATTACGAACTTCAAATACCAAATTTGAAACAATTCAAGTGAATAATGTCGCTAAAATCATCAAAATACCGAATATAGGGAGGTACCGTTGTATGGGGGCTATACCAAAACGTGGTCCTACATGGTCTATTTTCAATGCCAAGAGTCCTGCAGACATAACATACATTTGAGTAAAATTTTATCAAACTACTTCAATTCGTTCGGAAGCTGGAGTGATTTCCACAGACAAACTTCGTTAAATCGACATAGAATTTTATGCTGATCAAGAATATATATACTTTGTGGGGTATAAAATGTATATTTCGAGGTGTTACAAATGGAATGACAACTTAATATACCCTCCAGACTATGGTGGAGGGTATAAAAATACAGTCCATTCAGTAGGAAAATGTAGCTAGGGCTTGAAAACAGCAATAATTGGGGACTAGCGTCTCAACATATGGAGAGAATAAGATTTCAAAATATCAAAGTACAAAAACTTCGTCTGGAAAATCCGGCTACAAACTTTAAACACCTAATATCGGAGAGATTTATGTCAAAGAATGAATTTATTTTTGCTATTTTCTGAAAATCAGATTGTGTTTGAATATGCTTCCGAAACATTAAAAACACTTTCTATCAAAAGATATCGCCATCGGGGAGCTTTACTGGCCATGTAGGTCCCAAAGTTATCTTTGCAAAGAAGCACTCTACTTAGCTGTGGCGGTACGATTCAAAATACTGAAATAATACCGTTTTTGGGGGCCTACTTTTAAATTAATGGGCCATCGCTTCCTCTGCCAGATGCTTTCGAAGAAGCGCAATTCCTAAAATTGACGAGACTACGTTCCCCCGGGATCGAAAATGTTCAAGCCAAGTCTAAAAATGAAGAATTTCGAGTCATGTTATTATCTATTTAAAAGACTGCCGATTAGAAAGATCCAGTACGGTTAGCCCAAGTCCGCCCTACAAAAATGACTAATAAATAACTTGCACCGCAACAAAAAGAAAATAGACTCAAAAGGGCTAGAGTTGCTTCGCTTGGCCGAAAGTGGTAAACTGCCGAATTTGGTTTTCTCCGATGAGAAAACATTCGTTGTCCAGGAGTTTGTAAACAAACAAAATGATCCGCTTGTGTTTACTTGCCAAATAGGTCAGCTGAAAACGTTCACCTTCGGTTGGCCACCAGAACTCAAGCGCCGGACATGGTGATTGTGTGGGCCGCCATAACACCCAATGGTCGCTCATCGCTCGTATAAGTCGATCGTGGCATCAGAATAAATGCCGAATATTATCGCGAAAATATTCTGGAGGGTGTATTAAAGCCTTGGGCACGCAAACATTTTAGCCGCAGACCTTGGACACTTCAAAAGGACTCAGCACCATCGCACTCAGCACGCGCCACCCAATAATGGTTAAAAATGAGGTTCCTCGCTTCAATTTCAGCGCACAATGTCCACCAAAATCTCTGGATATCAATCCGTTGGACTATTGTGTCTGGAGTATTTTGGAAAGCAAGGTTGGCACTTAAAAATACCAAAGTGTCGATCATCTCAAGCAAGCGCTTCGCCGGGAATGGGCTAAAATACCGCAGAGCAACATTCGGGCAGCGTGGTCATTTGAAGTACATAATTCGTGCCAAAGGCGACCAATTCGAACAAATCTAGACATATTCTAAAATTTGATGCTATTTCCGACATTTCTGTATTCATTCAATACAATTTAAAAAAAATGTAAAATTATGGCGTTTGACTTTTTTTATCTCACCCTGTATAACTTTAAATTTTCAAAACATTGGATTTCAGAACAGAACCAAAATCCGGGATTTTTTTAAATTTTGTTATTTTTATGATTTACTCTCAGTTTTTGAGTTTAATTACAAAATAGAATAAGCAGTCAGGAAAATATATTTTTTCATAAATTTTTGTTTATTTTATTCAGCATTTTATTTGTAATATTTTTATTTCAAAAAAGAAAAGGAAACAGTCTGGCGATTTTAATTAATATTTCATTATTTTAATATTTAATTTAATATTTTTAATTTTTTATTACTTGTATTAACTGTTTTTAGGTTTCAGGTACCTGGCCGACATTTATTCCGGATTTTTCTTTTTTTTTCTAAAAAAAAAACAAAATAATTTATATCAATTAAATGTACTTGGACCACTAAAACTGTGCTAAGAAATTGCAATTTTGATATTCCGAATTGTTTGTTTTTATTAATTTATTTGCTTTTTTTATTTATTCATTCATTTATTTTTGCTTTATTCACTAAATTATTTTTTATGTATTTAATTTTATATATTTATTTTTTTTTAAGTTTATTTTTTAATTTATTGATTAATTTAGGATTGTTAATTTATTAATTATTATTTGATATAAAGAAAAATACCTAATTTTGTATTTTACAAATATTTATTTATAATTTTATTCGTATATTAATTTTATGTTTCAATCTTCTATTTATTGCTATTAATTTATTTGTTGATCTATTTATTATTGTTTATTACTTAGTTTAATTTATATTTCTATTTAAAAAATATATATTTTATTGTTTTATTTTAGAAGTATTTATTTTCATATATTTTCATTAATTTATTATTTTATTCGTGTATTTTACAACATGTTGTAATTTATTGATTTTTTACTTATTTTAATTCCTTATTCATGTTCATTTATTTATTTACTTTTTTTTTATTTATTAGTTTAAGCAATTCTTTTTTTATTTCTCCATTTTCTTATTTTTTATAATTATTTTCATTTTTTATTTATTACTATTTTTTTTTTTTTTTTGTTATTTGTTAATAAATCAAATTTTGGAATATTTTTAATTAAATTGATGTTTATGTTTAGTACATATGTTTATTATTATTTTTATTTCAAATGTATTTTTTTCTTAATTTAATTCTTCTTTGTCCATTCACATATTCATTAACAATTTATTATATTTTAATGTATTTCATTTATTTATCTATCTTTCTATTTTTCAAATTATTTATTCATACATTTTTTAATTTTTTTTATTAATTAGTCGTTTTTTTAAATTCAATATTCAACACATATTTTGTTATTGGGAAAATATTTATTAATTTTGGGGTTTGTCATTTATTTATTTGTTATTTATATATAATTATTTTATTCAATTTCATTTTTATTACATTATTTGGTTTTATTTTTGACTATTAGTACATATATTTTTTAAATTTGATGTATGTCTTTTATTGAATACATTGGTATTTAACTGTTTTATTTTTAAAGTACTTTTATTCTTTTTCTGAAATTTAATGGTATTTACAAACGACACGAGCCAATTTGTTATTATTTATTTATTTTTATTTCTATTAATTTAAAATATTTTTATTGATTTTTTCACTTCCAAAAACAAATCACTTTTCTACGCTTTTAAAATTCTCTCGCTCTCTCTCTCTCTCCCTCACAAATTTGTTCACAATTCATTCTTATTGAGCGGATTGGACACTGAGAGAAAAAAAATGGGTAATGGAAACGATGACAGTTGACAAAGAGGGTGGTGGGTGTTATGGTGGTGCAGAGCCATGAAATTTTTATGTTAAAAGATCACCATCAAGAGCACGCGTATCCCCAACAAACACACGTACACAGAATGAGTGTGTGTGTGTGTGTGTGGGGAGTATTGTGTGATAGATAAGAAGAGAGGAGTACAATATAGAGAGAGCCAACCTAACAGATTCTATTGCTGCTGTAGTTGTTGGGCCTCTTCTTTTCTTGTATTGTTTTTATTATTGTTGTTGCTTATCGTTCAGATATTTTTATGAACTCGAGTTTCATTGGCCTCTTCACATTCTCATAGTTTTATTTTTTATTTTATTTTCCTTTCTCTGTTTCGTGTGTTTTTCTTTGGTTTTTCTCCAGAGGGGGTTCTATGTTTTTTTATTATTGTTGGTGGTGTTGTTGTTGCCGTCCGTTCATTTACGGCAATAACCTGATGTTGTGTTGAATATTTCGTCGTTTGTTCGTTGGGTTTAGCTGTGTGTGCTTGGCTGGCTATTAAGTATCTGTGTGTTCGTGTGTGCTGGAATTTTTGTTGTGCTGTATTATAAACGTCGCCAAAGCCATTGTTGTTATTGCTATTTTTGTTGTTGTAACAAAGAATGTCATGCATTTTGTTGTTGTCGCACAAATTTTGTTACTCTCGGTCGGTCGTTTGGCCGTTCGTTCGTTCGTTGTTGCTGGCTGGCTGTTGTTTTTTTCTGTTTCTGTTTCTTGATCTTGTTTTTTTTTTCAATATTTTGTTTTTGTTGTTATTGGAATTATTATTTTTTCTCTCTCACTCACTCTTTGGCGCTGTTGCCCACAAAAATTATAAAAAAAAATCATCGAGGAGAGATGGCAAAAAAATTTACAAAATTTATTTAATTTTTCTTTTAAATAAAAAGGGCACAAATAGATTTTTTTAATTTCATAAAATATTTTTATTGTTGTTATTATTGTAAACTCCTTTTAAAATCTTGAAAAAATAATCACCTTTATTTTTTTAGTAAAAAAATGCAACGTTAAAATTCTCGTTTAGTCAAGCATTTTTCTTTCAACTCATTTGTTTCGCATATTTTCTTATTTTTTTTTTCTTTTTTATTTGGAAAATTCGTAAAAACCCGTTGCGTTGTCTCCACTTTATTTTTTGTTAACCGTTTTGTTTTAATTATTCCGTTTTCGAAAAAAAAACTATTATCTGTTGAATATTTTTGCTTCTTTTTTTCGATTTTGTTTTAGGTTCACACAATTTTGTAATTCTTCAACATTTTTTATCAAATCAAAAAGAGAGACAGCAAAACAAATTGTGTGAACAACGATTTCAACGAATTCTTCTTTCCCAAATCAAAATTCAACCGCTTCGCTCAGCACCGTAAACTAAACTAAACTCTGGTGTCCACACACCATTCGGGTTTTCCTCAACTCAATACAACTTGGGCAGGCATGCAGGCAGACAAGCAAGCAAACAAAACAAGCAACCAGTCAGTCAGCCAGCCAGCCACTTAGCCAGAGGAGGCTCGGGCATAGCGAGAGCTAGCCACACATTCACAGTCAAAGCCAAACCAGCGAAGCAGCAGCAACATCGCCATCATCATCATCGGCTGGGCATAGCACCAACCAACCATGCTCATAACAAGTTAGCTTGGCTGGCTAGTCCGCCGCCATCGGGCAGAACAAGAAGCGGCAGCAGCACATATTATAGCTCCAGCTTAGTACAGAAAAATTCCATCAGAGATTCATTCCATTCGCTTTAGTTTTTTTTTTCTTTATTTTCGTCGTCGTATTTGTTGCCGTTCCTTGTTTGTGGTGCTGGTGCTGGTGCCGCTGCTGCTGCTGTTTTGGGTTTCTGTACACTTTGCAATCTGTTGGATCGCTGGCTATGTATTTTCAATAGCATTTGTTGTTGTTGTTGTTGCCGCTATTGGCATTGTATCTTCAAGATACTCGCGAGCTTTTTGTTTTCGTTAAATAGATGTGTTGTGTATCGTCCATCTCTCGAATGCACACACAGTGGTTTGAGAGTAACAAAATTGCATGAGAGAATGGATCGTACAGTGGAGGCATAACTGCGGTCGTGCATTCCTAGTGGAATATCGGCTTTACTCTAGTTTAGTAAAAACTCTTCGTTTTTTTTCCAGAGGTAGGTATTTTTACCCTGATTCCGGGAAAGTATTTTTTCTTAGGGGAACGGACCCGGGGCCTCAGATTTTTGACCCGAAAGAAAGTTTGGGTTAAGGACCCGGATCCATTTACTCGATATAGACAATATACCTATCAAACAAGTGGTGACATGATTGGGTAAGTAATAAGCGGTTTGGAAGTTATAGACATATTATCGATTATTTTGGACCCGGGTTTTTTATAAAACCTCCAAAAAGTCGATAAGGGCCCATTATGGGGGTCAACCAAATTGATGCTAGTCTTACCTTTCCTGGATTCCGGGAAGTATTTTCTTTTTTTTTTTGGGACGGACCCGGGACCCCAGATTTTTGACCCGAAAGTTCGGATTCAAGACCCCGACTAGACATCCACTTACCCAATGTAGACAGCATAGGTATCGTTGGAAAGCTCATAAAAGTACCTATCCAACAAGTGATAGGGTAGCTGTTCGGAAGTTATAGATTTTTTTTGAACCCGGATTTTTTATAAAACTCCCAAAAAATCAAAAAAGGTCCGATTATGGTGGTCAAACAAATTAATGCCAGTCTTACCTTTCCCTGATTCCAGGAAAGTTTTTTTTTTGGACGGACTCAGGAGCCTAGATCTTTGACCCAGAAATTCGGGTTCAAGACCCGGTTCCACTTACGAAATATAGGTTTGAAAGCTTATGAAAATACCTATCTCTCTACCTATTTATAAGCGGGGTTCGAAGTTATAGTTAATTGATAGATTTGTTGGTCCCAGATATTTTATAAAACTCCCAAAAAGTCGAAAAAGAGCCCATTATGGGGGTCAACTAATGGTTAGGGAGTTATAGTCAAATTTTCGATTTTTTGGACCCGGTTTTTTATAAAACCCCCAAAAAGGCGAAAAAGGGCCTATTATGTGGGTCAACCAAGTTGATTCCAGTCTTACCTTTCCCTGGGAGTCAACCAACGGTTAGGAAGTTATAGTCAAATTATCGATTTTTTTGAACCCGGATTTTCTGGGTCAAAGATCTGGGCCCATTATGGGGGTCAACCAAATTGATGCCAGTCTTACCTTTCCCTGATTCCGGGAAAGTTTTTTTTGGACGGACCCATTTAAATTTATCCATTTTTTAAGCCCGGATTTTTTATAAAACCCCGCAAAATGTCGAAAAAGGGCCCATTATGGGTGTCAACAAAATTAATGCCACTCTTACCTTTCCCTGATTGCAGGAAAGCATTTTTTTGTGACGGACCCGGAAACCCAGATTTTTGACCCGGAAGTTCGGGTTTAAGACCCCGACTAGTCGTTGAAAAGCTTATAAAAGTACCTATCCAACAAGTGGTACATGATTGGGTAAGCGTTTCGGAAGGTATGGTCAAATTATCCATTTTTTGAACCCGGATTTTTTATAAGCCCAGATCTTTTCCGCAGAGGTTTCGGTTCAAGACCCGATATAGACAATATAAGTTTGAAAGCTTATGAAAATACCTTACCAATAAGTGGTGACATGATTGGATTATTTATTAGCGGGGTTCGGAACTTATAGTCAAATGATAGTCACTCCGATTTTTTATAGAATCCCCAAAAAGTCGAAAAAGGGCCCATAGTTGACTTTCTTACGTTTCCAAAATGCTACAATTTGTGCTAATTACTTTTATAAGCTTTCAAACGATACTATATATTGTCTATATCGGGTAAGAGGATCCGAGAATCGGGGTGAAAATACCTACCAATGGAAAAAATTTCGAAAAAATCGAAGAGTTTATACAAAACTAGAGTTGTTGCGGAATCTTCAGAAGAATGCTGAAACATGGTTGGCGATTACAGAAAGAAAGGCTAGTTGGGCTTCATCCTGACCAGATCCTTAAAGGTCTTCTTCAGCAACCAAAGAATGTACGCAATATTCCTTAACTCCGAAGTATGGTTGTTATTATAATGATAGATAAAACCCTTACTGCAGCATAAGCATTTCGGATCTGTTTTCACATCACGTTAAGTTTGATGGAGAGTCTAAGGAAGTGCGCGTAGTGTTCTGGCTTCATTTTTCGGCATAAGAGGACTAATATTTTTCGTCAGGATGGAACTGTCAAACTGTATTCTATGATATGACTGATAGCCAACAAGAAAGAAGGGATTCGAGGTACATGGAGGACAGGACGGCGTCTCCATTGATAAAATTAAAGTGCCACTGAGCTCTTCTGATACCAAGAGCGCCAAATTAAAGGAGATGTGGGGTAAATAGGCATATAGGCGAGCAATAAATTGCTGTAGTTGATATTCTTGATGAATTCGCGTAATTCAAGAAGGGGTTCCATCCAGTCAAGAGTGGCTCTCGATTTAAAGGCACTTGATAGTTTGTCAAAACTGAAAATTATTTCATATATCACCAGCAACCTCCCAAGCTTGAAATAACTACATTGCTTTTTACCATTATATCTATCCAGCCAGTCAGGATAGAGGAAATGCAAGAGGCGTAGAGAGCATAATGTATCGATTCGAGCTTCACGAGTCCCCAATTCTGCGCTGTACGAAGTGGGACATTACCACCTCCATCCTCATAACCAGGGTAATGGAATTTGTGCAAAAAAAGATTCTTAAGAATTCGACGTTGTTGGTCATTAAAAAATATTCTTTAAAAATCCTTGTTTATAGCCTTGGTGGTCCCTGGAAAAAGATTCCTAAGAAATCTGGTTTTTGGAAATATTTCTAAAAAAATCCACGTTTTTAGCCTTGAGGGTCCTTTAAAAAAGATTCCCAAAAAAAATACGTTGATGGTCCTTGGAATAATATTCTTTAAAAATCCACGTTTATTACTTTGATGGTCCATGGAAAATGATTCTTAAGAATTCTACGTTGTTGGTCCTTAAAAAAATATTTTTTAAAAATCAACGTTTATAGCCTGATGGTCGTCGAAAAAAAAAATTTTTCACAAGAAATCAACGTTGATGGTCCTTTGGAAAAATTCACGGAAAATTTGGAAAAGAAGACAGACTTACCGGTAACCATATTGAAGACCTTCCCAGTGTATCGAAGGAATTCAGGAAGCGTCAGTTTTCACCAAGTTGTTTGTTTGAAAAATATATTTCTTTTTGCCTTTGACTCCCAAGGTTTTGTCCACAGTTCCACTGAAAGTTGATTCAACATCTGGATATAAAAGGAAGAAACATTTAAAAATTAAAAATAAAACCTTGAACCTGATTTTTCAATTGACCATTTTTTTCTCAAAATCTATTTAGGCATCAAAAAAATCTATAAAGACTGGCCAAAAACATTAGCAGTCTCCACAGCATATTCCGTATCCATACAAAACTAGATGTCATGACTGCGAGTTTGGTATAAAACTGGCTGGCTGGGAATTTATATCTATACAAGATATTCTAGGAAAAATGCTTAATGCAAATTACATTGCGACTTTTTCTACATAAAACCACTGTGAGATCTCCCATTAAATTTCATGGGTGTTGGGAGAGTGTATTGCAGTGGTGTTGTGCTCATACATTTCGGAGATTTGCTTTGCGTCTTTCGGTTTTAAATTTTCTTCTCTCGCACTTCTCACTTGCCGTTTTTTATTCTGAGAGGATTTCTTTTTGAATGTTACGCTTTGCGAGTGTTTGCGTGTAAAAATGAATCTGTGTATTGTACCTGCTCCTGGTGCTGTTGATGATATTGAGGCAATTATTGCAGCTAAGTTGTTTATTTTGTTTTTATTGCAAAGAATGTATTTATGTGCACATCTCTATGTGTGTGTGTGCGTGAATTGAGGCCGTTTTATTCTGTGATTTCGAAGAGAGACACACGGTGTTGCTGCATATTTTTCTTTAGGATTCCTTGTTGAGAGTAAAGGAATTTCCTGTTATCATGAAAAGTACAGTGAGAGAGAGGGAGTGAGAACGAGGGAGTTCTTGTGTGTGTGTTTCAAATGAGTGTGAGTGAGTGTGCACGATTGAGTTTTGTTCTTAGCAGTTGTGATCTTGGTTAATGGCAAGAAATTCCTTAAACAAGGTTACCAGATGTTGCAGATTCTGGACTACAACTTAAAAAAATGTATTATGTTTTGGAGTTATGGAAGCATATTTAATTTCTTAAAATTGATAATGAAATGAATTACAAAAGCAGAAAAATGACAATTTATTTTTTATTTCATTTACATTTTCTTTAAAGGGAAAAAGTTCCATATTTTCATTATTTTTATTTTTTTTAATTAGGTTCCTTGGAATCCTTAAATTTTGGAATTAAATTAGACGAAGTCTGGTAACTCCCGCCACACCAAAGAATGCGCTTAAATGCAGTGTTTCTAATTGGCAAATAAACCTCGTGTTTTTTGGGGAGAGAAACATATTTTCATTTGTATTCAAGTCATGTACTTGCAAGGTCAATTTATTTTGACATCCATAATTTTCGAAGTGCTGAACTTATGTTAAGGGGTTTTTTATTTTATTTT